TTATTGTCATTAGTGATTATCTCAATATCGGCTAAAAGAATTGACAAAATCCTACACACTGTGCCTTTAATCTTTCTTGCTGTAGAAAAAATGACGACAGTCTTTCTAATATCTTTCCTGATTGCCTGAAGTATATAGCTACTACAAACTTATTTTATTGCATCAGTGGTGTGTATTAAGTTAACTTCTGAGCATCAGAAGAAATAAAATGTGAAACTTGGTTTCCTAACAAATTGATTGTGTTTTTAAAGTAAACAGTAGGTGGCAGTAATAAAAATGAGGTTAAACCCTGGTAGTCTTTGGCTAATAAAAATAATGTATTCAGCATTTTCTACTGCACGTAAGAAACAGATTTATGAAACAGGGATTGCTGTTTAGAGCTCTTAGTATTTAATAAAGTTATACTTTTCATCATCAAATTTGTGAGTAATGAGGTTTTAGAGCAGAGGGAGGCAAACAGAACTGGATAAATATATGTTTTTTTTTTGTTAATCATGCATTAATTGTTTCTTCTTCTTTATGGTTTTCTGACAGGTTCCTGGAAGAATGTGAAGCTGGAGCTAAAAAGTATCTGAAGTTCTGCTCCTCAGGTATGCTCGCCACAGAAGTCTATAAGACATAAAGCCATACAGGTCAGTGTTTTGAAGTGGGACTGCCCCCTATGGTTGACCCTGCCTCTGAGCAGCAGGAGTTTCCATGCTTCAGCTCTTCTGGTCCTAATCCTACAGCCAGACCTCACACTTTATTGCGCACTGGTTTTCCCTTCAAGATGGGTGGGGGTTCAAAGCCGACAGTCTTCAGACATTGTTTCTTCTCTCTGCTGATGCTGAAGACCTGCTGGCTGCTAGGCTCCATCTCCCAGAAGCCCACTGTCTTTGCAGACTCCCAGCAGCCTGTGCAGGAGTACGCCCACTCTATTCGCCTGGACGGTGATATCATCTTGGGCGGTTTGTTCCCTGTGCATGCCCGGGGTGAAAGAGGTATCCCCTGTGGTGAGCTGAAGAAGGAGAAGGGCATCCATCGTCTGGAAGCCATGCTGTTTGCTATCGACCTCATCAACAAGGATCCAGACCTGCTACCCAACGTGACACTAGGGGCACGCATCCTGGATACGTGTTCACGTGACACCTATGCTCTAGAGCAGTCGCTCACTTTTGTTCAGGCGCTTATTGAGAGAGATGGCTCAGACGTCCGCTGCGCCAATGGGGAGCCGCCCATCTTTGCCAAACCAGATAAAGTCATTGGAGTCATTGGAGCATCGTCCAGCTCTGTGTCCATCATGGTTGCCAACATCCTGCGCTTGTTCAAGGTAAGACGACTCTAAAATGTAATGTTTGTAGTTTGATCTGGTGGTCTATCGTAACGCCTCTGCTTTGGTCTGAATTTAAGTTTGAATCCTGTTAAGAATAAATAACAAATGTTTGTAAATGGCTTTTGCAAGGAAGTCACCAAAAATGTTCACAGTTCTCGTTAATTTTCTTGCACGAATCGCTGTGGTTTGCAGTCTTGTCTCTTAAATTTCAAAAGTTCAAAATTTTGTGTGACTCAGTTTCTTTCAGAATATTGACAGGGTTGTAACGAGTGGCTCCAATGCCAATTATAACAAGGTTTACGATTAAAAAAATGGTCCAGTTCTGATTATTTTCATTTCACAGATTAAATCATAGACATGGGGGCAGCTGCCAATGTGTGTACAAAGTGAACCAAAACAGGAACAGTGTGGGCAAACAGATAATGGGCGTCATGCAAGAACCGTTCGTACGCACAGATTTGTTCTTAAGTTGTGCGTACGAGTGATTTAGGAGAATTTGTGGCATTCACCAATGTTTTC